TCTTATGACCATTGATTGATGATTGGCCTGATGTAGCTTCATGAATAGTAGTAGTATTCACTTGTATGAATCCCTACTTAATTTGTTGGTTACTACTTTCTTGTTCAATTATTATCATCATTGACTGTTCTGTTGTTTATTTCTTTCCAAAAGGGGAGTTTAATACGGTTATAACAATACAATTTATCCTGATTGGTTTAATTCTGTCCTACTATGCTATATGCAGATTTCACTTCCCTGTACATATTCTTGAATGAACACAGTGATTGATAAATTTATAAAACGATGGATTCCCTCAAGGGAATTTCTTGCACATAGCTTGTCGTAGTGGCTCCCTCTTGTTACTTGCGCTTGAAGTGGCTTAGCCAGGATCGCCATGCTTTTACTTGGAAGGCATATCATTTTAGAAGGTAGCGATCGTAGCCTCAAAGGCATTCCTTGTGGGGCAAGAGTAATTTGTGATCATATATCATGAGAACTGTAGCTGGCTCATTCAAGAAGTGAAATCTGTAGTTTAAGTTTGTACAGGCCACTTGGGCTCGATTTTTGACTTTTTGTTGTGTCGGGGTTGCAATTTCCTTCATTTTTCTTTAGTATAAAGCGAATAATTGCATGTGCAAAACAATGTATTTGTTTCTCAAACTGATCGTTGTTTGTTTTGCCAAATATATTTGCTTTGCTGAACACTTGGACCTTGTAGTAACTTTGTCAAGCAACTACTTTACAGGACGGGACTTCGCAAAGGGCGTGATATGCATAGGAGAACTTGATATTGCAAATGTTACCCAACTCCGGAATATATGGAGCTACTCTGGAGCTACGTTCTATGAGCCAGAAGAGGTTCCTGATGGTTTCCACTGCCTTGGCCACTATGCCCAACAAAATGACCGGCTTTTACAGGGTTCTCTTGTTGTTGCAAGGGAAGCGGCTAGCTGCCAGTTAATCAATAGCAGGCCCGCTCTTGAGAAGCCATTAGATTACACCCTCGTTTGGACTAATGCTGGTGTGTATGAAGATGACAATAGTGAATGCGGGTGCTTCTGGTTGCCATCACCCCCGGAGGGTTATGAACCCCTTGGCTATGTGGTTACAAGAGGACCAAGGAAGCCCTCACTGGAGGCGGTCCGGTGTGTGCGACAAGACCTCACGGATCCATGTGAAAACTTTAGGTCAGTCATTAATGTGGAACGTACATGCCAAGTTTGGAAGACGAGGCCTTGCCACCGAGGGACAGCAGGACGAGGTATACCTGTTGGTACATTCTTCTGTGAAACAAATTCAGTTAACAGTAAGGAATCAGGCATTCCCTGCTTGAAGAACTGTGACCCGAATTTGAGAGCCATGCCTGATCTAGAGCAGATTCATGCACTAATCAAGCACTATGGCCCAACTGTGTTCTTCCATCCACAAGAGAAATACTTGCCGTCATCAGTTTCTTGGTTCTTTGAGAATGGAGCTACACTGAACAAGAAAGATATGAAAATGGGAGATCCAATACTTGCTGGTGGCTCAAACCTGCCTGCTGGTGGGACGAACGATGGTGAGTACTGGATTGACCTCCCAGATGATGATACGCGTGAGTTTGTCAAAGTTGGTAATCTGAAGAGTGCTGAGCTCTATGCTCATGTCAAACCGGCTCATGGAGGGACCTTCACTGACATTGCAATGTGGGTGTTCTGCCCGTTCAACGGGCCAGCAACAATAAAGGTTGGACTTGCAAGCTTTGCTCTGCAGAAGGTTGGCAGGCATACCGGAGACTGGGAGCATTTCACCCTCCGTATAAGTAACTTCTCTGGAGAACTCTCATCTGTCTACTACTCAGAACACAGCGGGGGAGGATGGGTGGACGCTTGCGATCTGGAGTTCATCTCTGGAAACAAGGCGATCGTGTATTCGTCGAGGAATGGGCACGCAAGCTACGCGCACCCTGGCTGCTACCTGCAGGGCTCTGAAAACCTCGGCGTCGGATTAAGAAATGACGTCGCACGGAGCGACCTGTCAATCGATTCGAGCACAAGGTACAAGATCATCTCGGCAGAATACCTTGGAGACGCCGTGGTGGAACCGTGCTGGCTGCAGTACATGAGGGAGTGGGGCCCGACCGTGACGTACAACTCGCGGTCAGAGGTGGACACGGTGCTTAGCTTCCTGCCGTTCTTCCTCCGGTTCACGGCAGAGGCCATATTCGACAGTCTTCCTGCGGAGCTGTACGAGGAGGAAGGCCCGACCGGACCGAAGGAGAAAGATAATTGGGATGGTGATGAGCGGTGCTAGGCCGCGTCGCCTTTGTGGTCTATCCCTGTTGCTTATTCATGTACATTGTTTGTGTTGAGAATGTTGGTTGGTACGTATGATATATTGATAAAGCTTTGCAAGTGGACTTGTAGTGCTGGGTATTTTTAGATCACAATTCCAGTGTTGTATCTACAAAAAAAAGTGTCGCTCTGGCTGTCTAGTTTCTACGTCCCAGCATTTTGCATTTCCCCAACTAGTTTTTCTGAGGAAGTGAGTATGTACTGATATCGTGCACTGAAGATGTAAACCAGAAGGTAAATGTTTGCGTTTCGGCACGCCGGCCGAACGCTCCGCCGGACGCGCGAGCGCCTTCTGATTAAACGCGATCGAACGCTGCATCTTCGAAACTGCTGTATAGACGATGGATGTGTGCACGACAGTGGGACCATGGATAATCCAGCCGTTGATATGCGCTGGATAGTATGCATGGACGGCTTGACATGTGCTGCCGTGCACAAGTCGTCCACACGTCGTCGTGTGTATAGCAGCATAGCAGCGCTGCTGCATCTTATTCGCCCAGGGTAACGACCCACGTGTGACTTTTCTTGGCCCACCACCCCTCCCATCTTATCTCCTCCCAAAACAAATGTGGCCCACTCGTTTGCTACAGTGTATCGTCTCCTACCTTCAGAAACGCCTCTGTAGATGGCTCCACCGCGTGATTTTTTTTCAATCTCCGCACCGTGATGCACAAACTCTCCTGCAACGGAGGTGCTTGGACTGTGCCGGGGCGCCGCGACGGAGGTGCTGGGACCGTGCAGGGGGCGCCATGCCAAGCCGTGCCGATGAGTCTCCATGGATGACCATGGCGAAGGTTGTGATGCCAGCGAGCGGATAACAATGCTGAAACTAGCATTTTGTTTTGCTTCAACCGGCCAAATCCAGAGCTGGAACCACAGTTGTTTTTTGCTACAGCCAATAAGCGAGTTGGAAACACAGCTGGTTTTTGCTACAACTATATCATTTTTTTGCTACAACCGGTGTCGCTATTTGCTATAATCTTCGGCGGTGTAGTTTGGTGACCCATGACAACAAACTGCTGCAACTGGGAGATGAGGAAAGTTGCAACCCACGCCGCGAAAAGCTGCGTCCAGCAACAAAAAAGGCTACTACTGTCAGAATGACGTGCTCCAACCAACGACGGCGAATTTATGGCCGGCGACGGCAGATGCAAAAAAGCTTCAAACGGTGTGCAAAAAAGCTTCAACCGGCAAAGGAGAAGCTTCAAGTATGGAAAAGCTTCAAATTGGTGTGGAAGAAAAACTTTGAACCATGAAAAAAGTTTCAACCGGCAAAGGAGTAAGCTTCAAGCATGGAAAAGCTTCAAATTGGTATGGAAGAAAAACTTTAAACCGTGAAAAAAATTCAACCGGCAAGGAAAAAACTTCAATTGGTAAAGGAAAAAGCTTCTACTGGGCGCCGACATGGTTACAATGGTGTGAGCGGCAACACCGGGAGCTACGGCCTAACGGCCGGCGGCGGCGGCTAATTTGCTGCAACGACGTAAGGGTCGAGCGTTCTACAACGACGGTGCTTCTACAGAACGATGGCTGGGTGTTCCGACGAGGTCCTGCTGGAACCGACGAGCACGGGTCTTGCGAGGATGGCGACCGGCAGCGGGGACGGCACCCAACGGCGAGTTGCTGATGCTTCAAGGGGACGGCAGCCGGCGTCGGGGCCGGTGGGAGCTTCAAGGTCCGGCCTCAAGCGTCATGGATGTCCAGCGATGCTATTTTGGATCGGATGCCGTTTTGTTTAAGGAAAAAAAAAAGCAAAAGGCCTGATCTAACGGTGGGTAACAACCGAATCTAACGCATTAGATGTGACCGGCCGAAAAACTGGGCCGGCGCACCAGCGCCGAGCAGTGCCCAAACCAGAACCATTTTGCATTTCCCCGACTAGTTCTCCTGAGGAAGTGAGGAAGTACTGATGTCGTCCACTGAAGAACTAAACCAGAACCTACATACAGGTAGTCGGAATTGTGTACGATTCTACAACTTCACGATCTAAACCAACCCCTATGATAGTAGAAATCTATTACTCCATCCGTTCATATATAAAATATTTTCTAACTTTTTTCTCTAGATCAGATGTATAGACACATTTTTATGTTCCATATTGAAATATCAAAAACATCTTATATTTGTAAATGGAGCTAAGTAGTTATGATTCTACAATTTGCGTTACGATCCTACAACAGAGCTGTGATCCGATCCAGGATCATGATTTTGACTACCTTGCACGCATACATCCACTGCATCACATTTTCGGGCTAAACACAGAACAGTTTCAATACGTAACATAGGAGCTGTCACAGAGATGAAGCACTCCAATCTGACGCCAAAAAGGAAAGCAAAATTTCCCCCTTTATTACCCACGTTATTTCTGTTCATTTTCCCATCATGCAAGGAGAGAAGCAGTACAGTGTTATACATACAAAAGCATCAGAGCTTCGGTTAATGCCGCCAACTCCTCCCGTGGCATTCGATCGCCTGCCGCGTTCCCTCGAAGTAGAATCCATGGTTATTCAGGTCAGGGAACGCGCCGGGCGTTTCTTTCCCGTTCATGTACCTCTCCTATCCTCCTGTCTTGCGTCGCCCTATGGTGTTGCTACTTACTTGTATGGTGTGAGTAGACTGGCAGATTCGGCTACCTTACCTTCCAGCCTCTATTCTCGGTGGGGGATTTAAGCTAAGCCTCTCTCTCTATATACAGCTCGCCCTGGTGGAGTACTCGGATACTAGCTGCATGAACATCGAGGACTTGTCCTCCAGAAGCCTCTGGGGTGTGTCGAACTCCGCAATTTTACCTGAAATAAACAAGAACAAGGTGAATTCACCGTAAAGGCTGTTGCTCCAAGAACAGTGTTTAGCTAGGAGTGTTACTCGGATAATTCAACATACGATCAGTAAGAAACAAAACATGTGATGGTCTTGGTTAATCGTGTGAAGGAGCATGTACCGTCGCTAAGCACCATGACTAGGTCACTGTCGATAACCGTTGGGATCCTGTGTGCAATTGTACAGACAGTGCAATCCCTGAATTCGCTGCGGATGATCTTCTGGATGAGATTATCTGTAGCTGTGTCAACTGATGCCGTTGCCTCATCAAGCACCAAAATTCTTGCCTGCTTAAGCAGCGCCCTACCCAATGCAATAAGCTGGCGCTGTCCCACACTCCAGTTATCCCCATTCTCCAGTACTGCAATGGCACCACAAATATCCAGGAAAATATAATTTTGTTTTACGAGGTGTCATGCTTTACGAAGTGTCATGCTCACTCTTTGAAGAAGTGTTTGAATATTCAAAATTAGAACAAACCTGGACTGTCCAGTTTTTCTTCCTTCGAACGAATGACCTCTCCTAGCTGGCACTTCTCTAGTGCCTGAAAGAAAAGAATTCTCTTCCATAAAGATCATGGCACATTTAACATGAGGATAGCATAAAAGCGACCATGGCATACCTCCCAAATTTCTTGATCAGAACGCTCTTCAAGAGGGTCAAGATTCATTCTGATAGTACCCTCGAACAATGTAGGGTCCTGAGGAATGATGCTCAACCGTGACCGCAGATCATGAAGGCCAATCGCAGAAGCATCGATGTTGTCAATGATAATTTTCCCTCCTGCTGGTTCAATTAGACGGAAAAGAGCCTGAATGAGAGTAGATTTACCACTTCCAGTTCGTCCTACAATCCCAATCTTTTTCCCACCAGGAAAAATACAACTGACTCCATGTAGAACAAAGGGAAGGTCATCCTTGTAGCGAACCTATGATATTTAGCAAAAGCACAATAAGATGCCGTAAATAAAACAGAAGTATGTTCAGCTTAGAAGAAGAAAAATAGATTACATACTACTTTTGGTGAATATATATAACGAAGAGCAAATGGATAATGACAAATAAATAATGGCTACGGGCTAAGTTTACCTTGAGATCAATCAATTCAATGTTTCCATTCTCAGGCCATGAGGAAGGGGGACGGCAATTCTCGATAATCAGTGGTGCTTCACTAGGAATCTTGCAATACTGATAAATACGCTCAACAGAGATGATTCTGTTCTCTAATTTACAGAAGCTCAATATCCACCTTGACATCCGAGCATTTAAGTTGAGTCCATATGTGACAGCAAGCCCAGCCATGCCTATCAATTGGAAAGCTTGTTTAGATTGAGAAGCATATTGCCATATTTTATTGAAAAAGATATGCAAGTTTTCTAGTGCACCTAACAAGTGATCTATTGGGTAAGGCAAGATCATAAAATGCAACAGAACGGTGTGTGAGACAGCAGATAAGACATACTTGGTTCAATTGTTCCAGGAGGAAAGCTCACAAGTATTGCCATGCAGAAAGCAAACACAAAGGTTGAGAGCAATTCCATTCGCAGGCAGAGCCATTCAATAGCTGCAAGGCTGGAAAACAAAGGCCGAGCAAAACAATCAAGGAGGTAAAGATTTCTTTTCATGAATCTTTTCTCCTGACCAAATCCTCTGATAGTAGCAGCACCAGCGATTGACTCGCTAAACAAATGGATCACTGGAGACTTCTGAACACTCAAGATCCTAGTCAGCTCCCTCGATGAAGCAATGTAATATCTCTGCAAGTTCATGGTAGCAAGGACATCCATTATCTATTGTGTGATGAAGATCTTTAAAAGTCTTTTGGTACACAAAATCATCAAGCTATCTTGAACACAGGCCTCGTGCTTTAAGAATAATAAGCTTACTTCACAACTTTCGATACTTTCATGCTGAACATATGCATATGTTCTCTGGTTAATTGGCTGCTAGTTAAATGACAAAGGCAGCCAAAAAAATTATGTGCGCATAATTCTTTAGTGATTCATTTAGCCATTTAGGTGTATCTACCCTTGCTATCTGCCTTATTTGTATTACAATTTCCATTAAAGAAATTAAGGATCCCAGGTAATGTTAGCCCTAAAAGAAAACCTGAAAGTTTAGCAATTTACCTGCATCCACATGCATGCCATAGCCATAGGAACTATAAGAAACAGAACTTGCCATGTGACTTTGCTCATGACAGCAACGATTCCAAGGAGTTGAATTGTTGTTGATGCAAACCCCCCTAGCCTGAATGCTATATCAAGGTCCACAACACTTTGATCTACAGAAACCTGATATGAAGTATGATTGAAGAAGATTAGAGTATGCAAATTAGAAAAGCCACACAGGTGTCAAATACAAATTAGGAGCAAGAGCATGATCTAAACTTACTCGATTCAGAATCCGTCCAGATGGTGTAGTATCGAAGAATGACATTGGCGCTCGAAACACACACCTTAGCATTTTTATAAATAGTTTCTGAGCAGCTGCTAAACCAAATGTAGCTACAAGAAGGCTTCTCACAAACACAAACAATGAACTCCCGAAAGCAAGGCACATATAAACAACAAGAAGGACCACACTACTTGTCTTAGGTGCATCTCCTTCTGTTTGTGGGTTTGCCCATGCCATCCACCAGTTACTGGCAATCTGAAGAACTTGGAACAGGGTTTGCGCCAAGACAATGAGTGGAATCAGTGAACCTTTGTAGGCTTCCCCCATGTATGTTAAATAAACATTTAAGCTAACTCTTCCTCGCTCCCTCTCCTCTTCCTGAACAGTACGCTTCTTCTTACGTTCTTCACTCTTTTTCTTGTCCTTAATTCCACGTGTATTAGATGACTTCCCATTTTCAGATACTTTATTTTTCAGGTTATCGATATTGCTAACACTTGGTGTCAATCTTTTGTTAGGAACGGAAGGAGCGATATCTCCATCAGAATCTTCGCCAAAATCCATGGTCTCGATAGCTTCATTATGAGCAGAAACCAGAGCATTGAAATCGGTTCCAGCTTGGAGAAGATCATCATATTTTCCAGCTTGGGTGATATGACCATCCTTAAGAACCTGTGCCATGACAAAAAAAAACACACAATGAGAGATCAAGGGCCCATTATCCCATGAACAGTCCAATGAGAAGTATTAGAAAAGATAGCGCAACTTTCATGCAGAATCTGCTGGTTTTTCTAATCAGGAAACATGGATAAACAACACGTCAAATTGAACAACTCAATAGGCTAATAGATTTTGTGAGAAAAGTAGTATTACCAATATCAAGTCAGCAGCTGGTAGGAACTCGACTTGATGGGTTACATAAATTACTGTTTTGCTAGCTAGTGCCCCCAATATATAGTCCTGCAACACAAAATCTGACATGTTATGAAACAGAAGCACCTTTAAAAAAAATAGAATAAGGCAACATCGATACAGACCTTAAATAGATCGCTTCCAGTATGAGCATCAACAGCACTGAAGGGGTCATCAAGCAAATAAATATCAGCATCTTGGTACAATGCTCTCGCAAGCTGCACTCTCTGTTTCTGACCTCCACTCAAATTAATGCCTCTGTCACCAATGATGGTCTGATCTCCATACTGGAGCAACTGAAGATCTTTCTTCAGGGAGCAAGCCTCAAGTACTCTCTTATAACGCGGTCTGTCCATTGGAGTGCCGAAAAGAACGTTCTCCTCAATATTTCCAGACTGTATCCAGGCAGTCTGAGAAACATATGCTGCTGTACCACTGATCCTAACCTGAATAAGGAGCAGAAGGAAAATGTAATTAAACTGTCATTCAAGTTAGCATCAACTCTCTTTATTTTTATGCGTGTACTTACTTGGCCAGACAGCTTGGGTATCTCCCCAAGTATAGAGGACAATAGACTTGATTTGCCAGAACCAATCACACCACAGACTGCTACTCTCATGCCTCTCACCACACTAAGTTGTATATCAGAGAGCGTAGGGTTTGAGCAAGATGGGTTCCAAGAGAAACTGCCATCCCTGATATCGATTGCCTTGTCTGTACTACCCTGTGGAACACTTATTGTTGCATCATCCGGCAACTCTTCTTGCCGTAAGAAGTGAGACAACCTGTCCAAAGACACCCTCGTCTGAGCTATCATGGAGATGAGATCAGGGAAATTCCTCAGAGGCTCTTGAAGGATCCTAAAGGTAGCTAATGCAGAGAGAACACCTCCGGCAGTGAGCTCGCCACCAAGCAATATACAAGTGCCGAAAGTTATGACCGAGACAAAGATTGGCGAACTCCAGAAAACAAACGTAACTGCGGCCTGTGAGTACAAAGCCCACTTGAGCCACCTGCATTCAACGTTCCTCATCTCTTCAAGCATTATCCTATACCGGTCCTCCCATGCCTGCAACTTGAGAATTCTCATACTCTTCAAGCACTCTGCAGTCTTGCGCATTCGCTCATCCTTTGCTGCCATCAGCTTATCTTGGTAGTGCTCCTGCAGCTTCGCCACAGGAACCGAGGCAGCAATTGACAGCGCGGTGGCTATCAATGTCGAGACAGTGGCGATCCCGACATTCTTGTACAGGATGGCGAGCGCAAGGATGATCTGCAGTGGAAGCATCCATATGTCATGAAAGTACCACGCATAGTCCCCCACCCGCTGCACATCGACCGCCATGTAATTCACAATCTCACCGCTCGTATGGCTCTGCTTTGAGGCATTCGACAGCCTGAGGCCCTTCCGGTACACCATGGCCGTCAGCCCGGACTTGACATGGATCCCCATGACGTCCACGCCCAGGTACCACTGGCGAGCAGTGAGCGTCTCAATCAACTTTGATACAAAAAATACGGAGGCAAGGATGTAACCTTCATGGGGGAAGGCAATTTTGCCACTGAGGTAGTCCACAAAGTAGCTGATCAGGTAGGGGCCGACATAGGACACGACGGTGTTCACCGCGGCGAAGGCGCCGTTGATGGCCGCCTCCCGCCAGAAGGACTTGAGTATTGCCCATGCCAGCGATGGCTCCTTGTCAGGGCACTCCAGCCGTTGGCGCTCATAGTGACTGCTCATGGCCTTGTAGCAGAACTTGGCACGATCCTTGTGAGCCAGCAAGGGTATGTCAGCCAGCTCGAGCGGCCTCTTGGCCCCAACCGAGAGCAGCGGACTGAGCCATGAGAGCGTTGCAAGGCTGAGGATCCCGGCATCGCCGTAGGGAGTCACCCGCAGGCAGCCGGGCTCCTCCTCGGCACCTCTGCGCTGGCCGCCGAGCAACAGGGGCTCGTGGACACCGGTGTCGTCATCACTGAACTCCAACTCGACACCGCTGGAACCCATCACACCAACCAAGCAGAGGAAGCCGAGGGCCGGCAGCGACGCGAAGTTGGCGACCATGTGCGCGTAGTCCGCATCACGGTCGTCGGCGCCCATGAGGCGCCTGGAGTCGTCGAAGGCGATGGCGACGGAGAGCGCGAAGGCGAGCACCCACCAGACCCGGACGAGCGCCGGGAACCTGCCGCGGCCCCCGGCGCGCGCCCGCAGCGCGAGCGCCAGCAGGGCCGCCCAGGCCAGCGCCTGCACGGCCGGCAGCAGCAGCGCCTCGGCCTCGACGGGCGGCGGCGCGGCCGCGACCTCGTAGGTCAGCGCGGCGAGCTGCGCCAGCAGGACGTAGGCGCAGCAGGCGAGGGCGGCCCTGAACCAGGCGCCCCCGGCGGCGGGCGGCGGGGAGGCGAGGGGCGGCCCATCGTGGACGAGGTTGCGGGCGCGGCGGGGCGGCTTGAGGCAG